AAGATGTATTTGTATCTCAAATCATCCAAGAGTATTGCAGCCTCAAAAATGTGGCTCACTGCTGCTAATTCATGCCATTTTTAGATACAGTTTTGATTAGCTGTTTCTTTTCTGGCATTTTAAAATGCTTACTCCCTCAATGCACCATTTTCAGGCACAAAAAAATGCTATTAAACCACATTTCAAAAAGCTTTTTTGAAGGCCTGTGTCCCAGGTTGATAGAGGGCTTGAACCCCTGTGATGTGCCTGATGTGCTGTGATCTGTGGAGTTTAATGTTTTATATTACACTCATCTACAGAGTAATCTCCCCATTAACCCAAGCTAGTGATCCGCTCTGTCTGCTGCACCAACAGAATCCCAATAGGAGAACACACAGACACAGGCTTTTCAAAAGTCACTCTATAACTTGGTTTCATCAGCAGCAGTGGGTAGGACATGACTCATTCTGAGATGGTGTCACAGAATTGCAGCATTAAACACCACATGATATCATCCACATGATCTCAGATGATCAGCAGTTGTATCAAACATCATTTTGTTTGGAACAGAAACAGAAATGTTCTATTTGCATTGTCCACTAACCTTTTTATTTTGCCTTTCTATGGCCCTTCACATGATTCTGCTTGTAATCTGATGGGTAAAGGCCATTTTAAAGGTCAATGCCAGAAGAAAACTGGTACTTACTGTACGTGCGTTGTTTTTGGTATTATCCTGTCCTTGAAAGTTTTGAGATTCTTTTAATATATCTCACCACACAAAAGAATGCTGGGACAATTTTTATTCGACAACATGCTAATGCTATTCCTTATAAAACATTTATTTTAATATTTAAACTATACAATGGATCACATCTTTAAACTTTTTAAATGTTCTTTCCTTCACAAATCTATATTTATATCTTTTTTATGAGAGGCGAATTTGTGTTTACTGGAGGAGCAAAGCAAAAGTGTTGTTGCTCTGATCTCATGTGGTAATATGATCAGTTCAATAAACAAGAAGTTAATACCAAGACACAGTGTTGCCACTTACTTTCTCAGCTAACAATAGTTCTAATAGTTCTAAACAAAGCCACAGCAGAATTATTTGTCACACGTCTTTATTAAAGTACAGTACAGTATGTACATGCAGTATCATTTGTATGTGATTGTATGTATGCATACTATTTTCATGAAAAATGTGTGAAAAATTTCCCTCATATTTCAATCGTTTCATGGCAGTGATTTAATTATCTTTTATTCTGGAAACTGTGGGTTTTGTTGAAGCAGAGATCAGTTTCAGATCAGACCCCTAGCCATTCATAATTCAAGATCATTCATGCAGATTGTCCTGATAAGTAATTGAGTTACTTTTATATGCTGTTTCTGGGGACATGAACTGTCTTTTGTTGTGAAAGATGGACAGTGCTTGTACTGAATATTGGGTAACATATTCAGAGATGTTCACATTCAGTTAAGATATTGTATTAAAGGCTCTTTATCTTCAGTTTCATTTCTTTGTTTCTTTTGTCTGTCAGGCTGATGTCTTCATCATCATCCTGATTCTGATTGAATAAGCTGTGTGTCAGTGATTCTTTCTTTTAGCTCTGTAGGATCATCCTACACCGTGACTTAAGTAATATGCCCCAGTTATCTGAAGCTTAGTGAATTTCAGGTCCTTGTTCTATGAGGATAATTATTCTGACCTTGTCCTGCTTCTTATTATTTTAGATCTGGGTCCAGATTTTGCCCCACTGGGCTTCTATCGGATCTGTTTGGCAATGTTGAGGAGAGCCAAGTATGTGACATGAGGAACATTACCTGTAGTGTTTTCTGTCACCCAGATATGTCACTATGCTGTTGTAGATGTGAAGGAGTGTAACTGTTTTCCATGTGCAGTACTGAAAGTCAAAGAATTAGAGCAGTTGGTGAAGTGAACAGGGCTTTAGAAAAAAAGCTGGACTAAACAAAGTTGGAACAGGGGTAGAATTGGGAAATGACTCATGCCAGAATCAGGCCACTTGTGTGTCAGAGCACACCCACTACAGACCTCATCTCTGACACATTACTCTTTTCTGACATGTATTTGAAAATTTTATGTAAGATCACAGCAAAAGCATTTTCAGTTCTTCCATAAATTAAGGTTTATTGAAAGAGGAGCTTGTAAGGAAACAAAAATTTATTTCTGCTAATTAAACCTAGTAGTGTCAGTTAAAGTTACCTATTGACTGTTTAATAACCAGATATTCTTGAGTTCACCACTGGCATCTGGAGGTTGATAAGGGCAGATGGTGGTACAGTAATCATATTAATTTTTGCTCTTATGATCTGTGATCAATTAGAGAATAATCAAGGAAAAAGTCCACGCAACCTTCAAAAAGATATTGTGAAAGTAATCCAAATAGAGCGATTTAATCCAAGTCTTCTGAAAAGATATGATTACGTTATATGATAAACCGATTTAATTGAGGCTTTTATTCACGTATAAACAATAATGAGTGCAAATACATAGATACATACAGCACATAAAATATGGTAAATAGAAGGAGGTTTTTATGGGAGTGCACCAAATTGTAAAATCTAGCAACTTCTGAAAATAACTAAATATACAGACACTCTAATCTAATCTAATCTGGGGAAAAAATATTAATCCCTTTCTCAGGGACATCTGTAATTGTGCTAATGCTGATTTATATGTTTCAGAATTGAACACCTGGGTCTAAATATGGCCATGCAACTTTTGGTGGGTGTGCCATTAGAGATGGTCCACGGAGCTTTGAGAATCGGCCTGGTTTATGTGTGTGGTGTACTGGCAGGTGAGTCAAACTCCGCATATATTTTAGGTTTTCTGTTTGTGATGAGAAAGTGTGTTTTCTTAGTGCAATCTCCTTGAAGTGCCCCTGTTATGCTCTTTTGGATATTACCTTTCATGTAGTGTGCAATATAGCTGTTTGTGAATGTAAAAGGTCTGCAAAATTTCAAAGAGCAAAGTGCACAACAATTGGAGTTATTGTCTCCCAGAAGAAATCACCAATACTGAACTGTCTGAAACATGTCATCAGTAATTCCAAACCTTAATTCCTGCATAAACAGGAAAGGTTACATAGGTTACAAATTTGCATAATTCCTACCTATAGTCTTCTTTGGCTGCCTGTGAACAATGTGTACTTTGACCCGCCCTCAAAAACTGTAGCTGTAGCCTGGAAGAGTTTGGTTTGTGTTGTCGTCATATCTAGAAGATGCTGTTCTCTGCACTGCGAAAGTAAAAATCACTTTGCATGTACTCCCAAAGGATGAGGATGTGAATAGTCAGTGGTTACAATTCATTTTTACAGTGACACCACAGCATTATAACTCCAACCTTTTGTGGTGTCCCTGTCATTTTACTGACGACTGCTTCTCAAATCTTGCTGAGTTCAACATGGGATTTGCAAAATGCTTATTCACAAGCAGTACCCACTTTATTTGTCTTGCGCCGCTGGGTCACAACCTGTATATATGATTACTCATTTATGTGCATATTTTCTACCGAGTATTCAAAACATGTAGTTTGTTTTATATGTGTACACCCAGTGCACAGCTGTCACCTTCTGCCAACTCAAATTATTGTCTTGAAATACTGTGGGCCCACTATTACCTAAAATTGTGTTGATTAATGCAGACTGTCTTATTCTTACTACTTTGAGTAGTGATACATTATGGAGCAAGATTTTGATACTGTTTATATCAGTGTTTCTCAACCCTGGTCCTGGGCGCCCCCCAACACTGCACATTTTGTGTGTCTCCCTAATCAAACACACCTGATTCAACTCATGAGCTCATTAGAAGAAACTCCAGGACCTGAAATGGGTGTGTCAGATAAGGGAGACATACAAAATGTGCAGTGTTGGGGGGCGCCCAGGGTTGAGAAACACTGGTTTATATCAATGTGTATACAACAGCTGAGAAAGCCTGCTGAGCTGGCATTCAGATATAGTAAAGGGAGTTTAGTTTCCGACATGCACTGTTAGCAGTAGACCAATCACAACAGACTGGGCCATCTGACTAGTCAGAGCAGAATAGGTGCTTGGAAAGGACTGGTTTAGAGACATTTCAGAGAAAGATCTAATGCTGCACTGTATATTATGATAAAATTGAAGTGTTCTTGGACCTTGAATGCATTTAAACCTCCAAAACAAAATTAGGAACTTTAAAAAGGCATGTAAAAAGGACATTCTTTAGTCATGGGAACATGGGAAAATTTCTTGCTCTTTTAACTTTTTTGCTAAACATTACTTTTGCAGCTGTGGCCAAACCACTCCATCTCTGACTTGTCTGTCCAGATCACATTTTTCCAGAACTCCTGTTCTACTTGTGTTGGATTGCAAACATCCATTTTGTCTTGCTGTTCTTTTTTGAAAGCAGAGGCTTCTTCCTTGCTGACCTCACATGCAGATTTGTGCACCCTTTTTTAAATGGTCATATGAATGTTCTGGAGCAACTTCACAAAATCAACAGTTATTTGGATGTAGGACTTGTTCAGCCAACACAGATTTGTCACTTCTACTTGTAAGACTGACTGAGCACAAATTAAAGGGGTCATGAACTGTGTTTTTTATTTTGTACTGTTCTCTGAGATCCACTTATAATGTTATCAAGAATTTTACATCAAAAAACATCAATTTAGAAGTAATAGGATATTTCGGACCCCCCTCATCAGATTGCTCTGTTTGAATAGGTGTGGCGGATTGTAGACTATGATTAGCTAATAGTTGTGTATGTTTGACAGCCTACATCCTTCACAGATGGACACTGTTGTGATTTAGGTTAAAACCGCATAAATACTCATATCAAATGATCTGTTTAACAGACAAATCAATAGTGATCACGTAATAAAAACAGTTACTCGAACTTGTGTGTTGCGACATAACTGTCGGATCTAATATAGTTAGCACATCATCATCTTTTCGTTTCAATCTTTCTGAAAATCCCCCATCTGAATTGTACCTTGTTTGTAAACTAATCCTTGGTAAAATGAAGTGAACAAAGGACCAAGTTCTTATTGACGCAGTCTGGAACTTCATTAAAAATAAAGTTCATACACTCTTTCCTAATATTTGGATCAGAAGGAAGGCAATGCAAAGATTCCACATGATCCACAACTTGGCACTGCACAGTGTCTTGTTGTCTTTGGAGCCATCATTATAGTTTGGTTTCTGCACAGACCTGCACATTTGCCTCTCTTGAAAATACTACATGCGCAAATCATTGGGTGAAACTAAATGGGCAGCGATGTAGAGGCAGGTGTTTATCTTCTTCTGCGTTCATTCAGTGCTTATCCACACTATTACATCACAGAGTAGATCCCCTGATATCATCCTAGGGTTCTTCACTCTTAAAAATAAAGGTGCTTCAAAAGGTTCTTCAAGCGATGCCATAGAAGAACCATTTTTGGTTCCACAAAGAACCATTCAGTCAAAGGTTCTTTAAAGAACCATCTCTTTCTTACCTTTTTGTAATCTGAAGAACCTTATTTCGCCACAAAGAACCTTTTATGAAACAGAAAGGTTCTTCAGATGTTAAAGGTTTTTTATGGAACCATTTAGACAAAAAGGTTCTTCTATGGCATCGTGAAGCACCTTTATTTTTAAGAGCGTTTGAGACTTTCTGAAGCATCTTGTGCTCTGCTCTTGAGGTGAGTTTGGTGAAGTGGTCCAGCCTGGACAGATTACCAGTGGTCTGAAACCTTCTCCATTTGTAGGTTATTTCAGATACATTGGAATAGAGGATTTAAAGAAGTTAGAAATGGCTACAAGGGTGCTTCTCAAATGGAAGAGCACATCCATTTTGGGCTGCATATCTAGGCTGCCACGTCATCAAGCTTTGTCAAAAGATGTCTCAATTTGAAGGATCCTTAGAAGACAGTCTGCATTTCATGTCCTTTATTGAGCCTGTTTTGAAGGATGCATCTGGTGCATCCTTCACGTCCTTCAATCGCCGACAATCCTTTGCATAGATTCCATCCAATTCATGAAAAATTTATTTGCTGAAAATAAATCAAGACTGAGCTTGTTCAATTTCATTATATTATGTAAGAAAAATGTTTTTTGAGATGAATGCAATATGTTTTCTTTCATGTTGTAAATGAATCACATAATGCTAAACTGCGTTAATAAAGCACTGGGAGGCCACAGACCGTTGTCATTACCTGTACTGCATTAATACAGTAAGTTAATATAAGTAAAGTGTTCTTCAAATTATCATTTGAATAGTATTTTTGTTCTGTAACCAGGGAGGCAGAAACATATATGGCCATGCACACTTACTAGACCATCTCATTCTAGCGTTTAATGCTTAGAAGGACTCTAGTCATGAAGCATCAGAAGGACTGGTCTAGGAAGGACACATCCTCAGATGCAGCCTTCCCTTTGAGAAATAACCTTCATCCCTTTCCAGACTCCTAATACTCAACAGCCTTCATTCAAGGGTTCAGGCAGGTCTTCTGACCATGACATGACACTTATGACTTAACCAGACTAGTTTATTGAGGTCACATTTATCTTTATTGTTGTTCTATTAATTTACCCTTCTTCCTACAAATTGCTGTTAATTAATCTAATTGTTGGGCATTAGATTAAGTGTGCAAACTTTTTCTACACATATTTAACCGTACAAATCATTACAAAATGTATATTCCAATAGTCATCAATTATATAGATTTTATACATTGTCATTGGTAATATGTCAATTTTGATTTGATGTGGTACTCCAACCACTATAATTTTGTGTAATTTACTTACAAATGAAGTTGAAATTCTAAAAACTCATAAAATCAAGTCAAAATCCTGGAAATTATTCAAATGAGTCAACGGATGGAAGCAAACATGTTGGTATAGCATTATGATTATATAATTATTTCCATGTCTAGCCATGTGCTTTCAGACTTGTGAAGATTAACAAATGGAAAGCTGATTAAATGCGACAAACACTCTGAGCTTTTCCAACATTAGAAAACCTCACACAACAGTCTGCAACCCCTGCTGAGAGGAACAAAAACAACAAAAAACAAACAAACTGGAGAATGCAAGAAAAACAGAGATGAAGAGGCATGAGGAGTGAAAGTGAGAATGATGCAGAGCAAAGGAGAGAAGAAAGGAGGGGGGAAGTTCACCTGCATTTTCCATCAGCTGTGGGGTTTGATTTGAAGTGGAAATGTCATTTCATTCTCCCTGATGACATTAGCAGCTAATATCGGTCGGTGTGTGTGTGTGTGTGTGTGTGTGTGTGTGTGTGTGTGTGTGTGCTCCTGGAGAATCAGCAGCAGATGTCATGAGGGGGCAGTTTAACCGCAGCCCTCACTTTACTGCAGCCCATACCCAGAACTGGAAAATTAGTCATACATTTTTGGAATATCTTGGAAAAGGCGCAAGTTAGAATGTGAAATGCTAAAGACTGTTTGTAGAGCTTACAGCATATATAAACCGGTTTGGTTATGCAAGTTTAAAAACGTTTGACCTCTGTCATTGCCAACAAAGGGTATATAACAAAGTATTGAGATGAAATTTTGTTATTGACCAAATACTTATTTTCCACCATAATTTGCAAATAAATTCTTTAAAAATCCTACAATGTGATTTTCTGGATTTTTTTTCCTAATTTTGTCTCTCATAGTTGAGGTATACCTATGATGAAAATTACAGGCCTCTCTCATCTTTTTAAGTGGGAGAACTTGCACAATTGGTGGCTGACTAAATACTTTTTTCCCCCCTGTATATACTGCAATACTTTGTCAAAAACCTTTGTGAATTACATCGCCAGAGGACTTTCCTGGTCTGATCTTTTGCCCTAAACTGAGTGGAATTTGAGAGAAAAAGCTTGATAAATGAAAAGACGTATTGTATTTAAACCTCCCGCTTTTACAAAGAGAAAAGACTGAATCAAGCTAACTGAGTGTAAAGAGCGCAATATCTCATATTGATATCTTTTCTTTATTCTCACATTTCATCCCAAAAAATATATATTATATTAACAGCTTTGAGGCCTAAAATAAAATAATTCCACAACAAAAGTGCTTTTATTAAGCAAAAACCTTCATAAACCATGTGGGGAGCATGTCCCATGAATATTTAGATTTATGGTAATTATATATTTACATTTCTGCATTATTACATTACATTTATTATATTTGCTTCTCCCCAATCATAAATATTTGGTATATTTTATTTTTTTTAGTGAATTATACTTTTAATATCTGATGGTTCTTCTGCACATTTAAATTCCTTCATTAGCGTATGGATATCCTATTAAAACATTAAAATGTTGTAGAGATATATGCATTGCAGCTACAGAAACATGAAAAGGTCAGTTAAAGATGAAATAACCCCATGAGGTGTCACTAAGTCACATCCCTCTACTAGTATTTCACATTCATCAACAATGGTGTGTAAGTCTGATCACAATGTGTGTATGTACTGTGTGAATGTGGATGTACATAATGGCATCTTCACAAGGCACTGCCATTCTCTGCCTAGAGAAACTTGATATAGTAATTAGAGGTTGCTCTGCTTGTTTTCATCTCCACATACAGACATTACACTTTTTACACTTGTTCACTTGATATTGCTGTTTTCTTTAGTAGTATCCAAATAACATGATTAAAATGGGTGCCTAATTTTCACCAGATACAGAACTTTCTTGTTTTTGCATTTGTGTGTGTGTGTGTGTGTGTGTTTACCTTGCATTATCCCACAGAATAAACATATGGTGCATTGTGCAACCTGCATTTTTAAATTAATAATTGTACATAATAAATTAAAAAAATATAATAAATACATATTTTATGTCAATTTTAAGTGAGTTATATTTGAAAATACTGTACATATTTTAAAATGAATTCTTCAACTGGATTTAGATCATCTTGCAGATATGTCATGAGAATCAGCAGGACGCTATCATAAAGCCTCGAGTTACGTGTTATGAATAAAATCTTTACAGGGATGCCTTGATACAGTAAATCAAGTTTCAGTTTGTTCTGATTTCATTAAAACACCCACATTAAGGAATAGTTTTATTACAATTTTGTATTTTCCGTACCCATTCCAACCCCATTATTTTCTTTCTTCTGGGAAACACAAAAGGAGATCTTAGGCAAAATGTCTCATGAACTTACGATAGCTTTTAAGCCATTGATCACTGATACTCTTTCCATTTGCCAACTTTTAAATCTCATTTGCCATCATTAGTTCAAATGTTATTTGGTCAATGCTTAACAGTGGTTTTGTTTCATATGATAATGACTCCAGTTTATAAGAAAGTGAAAATATCGGTGATGCCTGAACATAAGTTTGTGTCATGGTGACTTTTGTCTGCATTGCCTTCCTGCAGGTTCATTGGCAGTGTCAGTGACGGACATGACAGCACCTGTGGTCGGTTCATCAGGTGGAGTCTACGCTCTGGTCTCCGCCCACCTAGCCAACGTTGTCATGGTAATCAAGAAATGTCTATATTTTCTTATTATGGCAGTTTGAGCAGTTGTGAAAATGTATTGCTCTAGAAAATGAATATTGTTCAGCATCAGTTTTTGATAATGCTTAGAGATATCAAATAATCCATTAATCACTGTGGTGACACTAAGTGGGTACTGTATGTGTAGTATATAGACTTCAATCTTAATTCAGCTCCTGTTTTGAAAAATATCAGGATGCCCTTGACTCAGACTGTCAGGATAAATGATGAGTGTGAAGTTCAGCCTGATGTCTCTTGTCACAAAAAATTACTCAACTTCAAGCAATTAGCCCTCTCCCTTTATTTCAGATACAGATGATCAAATAGCTGAAAGATTGTAAGGTTCGCCTTTTAGTCATGCATATGATATTGAGCATGTTTACATGCACACCAGTAAACTGATAACTAACAAATATCCGCTTATCAAAATAACCAGCTTTCCCCGTTTACATGCACATCAGTAACCAGGGGCCTGTTTCAAAAAACAAGTTTACCAAATAAGCCAGGCTTATTTCAGCTAGTCTGACTTATTTTGAACCAAATCAACTGACAAGAAGTCAGACTAACTGAAATAAACCTGTCTTATTTGGTAAACTTGTTTTATGAAATAGCCCCCTGACATTGCAAGCATAAGCTGCGTTTACATGACTTTATGAACAAATCAGGTTATTTCCCTGTAGTGACTTCAAAATACAATCATTTGTGTATGTGACTCAGAGTATTCCATATATTGTCAGTTGTGATGTTAAATAAAGCTTTCAACATGTCTTAGGGAAACTTACAGCTCATATATTATCCTCTCATGGAGTTATAAATGCAGCATTTATAGGCCTATATTTCCTTCTTTACTGCAAAATATTTGCTCTGTCTAGATGCACTTAAATCTGCACTAATGATGCATTCCTGTCACGTATCACACATGCGCACTTTAATAAGCAGACAGAAAGCGTTTTATTGTGTTTACATGCCACGCAAAATCGGGGTAAGAGGCAAAAAAACTACCTGTGTCGACCAGTTTATGCTTACGCCGTTTATGACCTTACTACGATAAAAGAAAACAGGTTACCGCTTTACATGACCATGTGCGTTTTTGGCTTATTAAGCATAATTGGCTTAAGAACATGCATGTAAACGCACAGGTTGTGTTTGTTTTGATCTCTGCATTAAGACTTTATTCTTTTTATAGTTGTTCACTTCTTGTTGCTGTTTTCTTCAGTAGTATCTAAATAACGCGGTCAGAACCGATGCCTATGTTTCCCCAGAAACATATTTTTGTTTTTATGTCTTGCTCTATCTCAGTCAATCAACTTACAGTACATTGTATAACCTACATATACATTTTATATAATAATACAATACAATAATTGTCTATTTTGTAGCTCCTCCTCCTCTGTCATTGACCAATCAAAGACCTATGTGCTATTCACCGAAGCTTTGACCTTCTCTCTAAATGAATGGAGGTGTTTTGTACTGCATGATGACCTGGTCAGAGTCATTAAATATTATCACCGCGACTGTCCACAGTCTCTCAAGTCAAATCATGAACCCTCCTGTACTTGCTCAGCATTTCAGATAGAACTTTTAGTGTCAGCACTGGTACATGATATGGACTCAGATTACACATAGACTGTCTACAACAAAAACTGAACTCTCATTAGGTCAAATCAAATCTGATTTATTATGTATAATGCATGCAGAACTGCAAGACTAACCTTGAATTAGCTGATGAATGACAGGTGCTAATGCTGCTCCCTTTGATAGTCACAGGATCACTGAAAATGCCAGAACAAATATACATCTCAGTCTGAAGCAACCTTGATAAAGTGGGGTACCAAAACCAATTCCCTGGAACAACACCAGAAGAGTATTAGAATGAATACTGAAGTGTTTTCTCTCTTAACTACCAATTTTTTTGTCATTTCTCCTAATTTGATGTTTCTCTCCCTCTGTTTACAGAACTGGTCAGGAATGAAGTGTCAGTTCAAGCTCTTTCGCATGGCAATGGCTCTGGTGTGCAGTATGTAATATGTTTTTATGTTATTCATGCTAAAATAGTCTTTAGTTTGTGAGACTGTAAGTCTGTGATTGAAATATTGAATGATCATGATATTCTAGGGGATTGACAATATATCTATACCATATTGGTTATTAGCTGATTTTAGAGATTTTTTTTTTTTATTGGCTATTTATTTGTGCATTCTCATTTCCTTAATCTTTCAAAAAAATTATATATATATATATTTATTTTATATTGCAATTATAATTATATATAATTCATTATATTTTTTTGAATCTATTTTATTTTGCAGTGCTTAACTTTAAATTCAACAAGAAAAACTGAATTTTAATATAGTTGTCAGGGGTTGTAGTTCACATACACAACACGGAATAAATTATAGACACTTTACTTAGCCAGGAGAATCAACACCATAAACTACACAAAATCACAGACAACACTGATCAATAAACAGAAAGAAATGAGGCCTTAAATACACAGAGGGAATAATCAGTGGAACAGGTGTGAAGTTCAAACAGAAGCTTTTGGGATATGGGAACCACATGAACACTAGAACAAAACCAAAACAGAACATACTCATGATAATAGGCCAGTTCTTCCAGAGCTAGGAGGATATGTACAGAATTGTTCTAATCAATGAAAGTGAATTAAGTAATGTTTTTCCCCACAATTGTATTGCACACAACATAAGTTGGTTCACAAGATAAAATGATGAGCTGAATGCTACTAACTTTATCTTGACCTATAAATAATTATAGTTACCAAATACCTGTGAATCAAAATTTTCTACAATGACGCGGATAACTTTTGCGTCCACTGTCAGTATCCACCTTTTTCTTCAACGCGGAAGTAAGCCTATGGGCAAGACTTCCGGTTCATTAGCCACTATAGGGAAATATCGAGAAGAATAACAACGTGCAGTTAACAGTAAAACTGTTTGCATTATAAACCAGTGTGTTCGTAATTAAGACAACACATTCAAATAATATGGTAAGACATAAATTTTCAATATCAAGCAGCAAAACGAGAGGTTCGGTACAGCTAAAAATAGCTGGATGCGGATGAGACCGGAAGCCAGACCCATAGAATTTACAAATGGCCATGCCCATTTTTACGGGAAGAATAAGGTTGATAAGTCCAAGAAACATAAAAATACACAAAAAAACAAAAGCAAAACATAAAAAATTACTTAGTGCACTTAAGTTTTCTGCATTTAAGATTTGCTGTGTTTTTAAATGAAATGTGTAATATATGTAAACCCTCACATTGCTTTCTGTATCTACAGTGAGTGTGGAGTTTGGTCGTGCCGTCTGGCTTCGGTTCTATCCCCCAGCCTTCCCACCATGCCCTAATCCCAGCTTTGTGGCCCACCTTGGGGGTGTGGTAGTGGGCCTCACCCTTGGCGTTGTAGTTCTTCAGAACTATGAACAGCGTTTGCAGGAACAGTCCTTGTTCTGGATCTTCTTCAGTGTCTACACGCTCTTTATCTTCTGTGGAATCTTCTGGAACATTTTTGCTTACAGTCTCTTGGATGTCAAGTTACCCCCACCTCCATGAGGCCCAGAGTGTGTGTTTGTGTGTGCGAAATGACAGGCAACATCATTTAACAGTTGTAAAGGTCATAAATGAGAAACAAATGCTAAGTACCTTACTGCAGTCCTCCTGCAATTTTGTAGTTTGTGTTAGTGCCTAAACCATGCCAAGTCATCAAAGCAGCTAAAACAGCAGAATCCGGTTTTTAAGCAATGGTGAATGTAAATTTGCAGGAGAAGCTCAAAGGTTGATGCGTTTTACAGCTACATACTTTGTGCGAGCCATCGGGGGCTATCAGCGATAGCACAAGTATTCATTTCAAAATAAACTTGGGTTTAGTAGCAGCTGCTGGCTTGTCAGCTTTTCAAGGTGCCAGGTAAAATGGTTTTCAGTTGTTGAAGGAATGAATATATTCCTTTAAAGCACAGAATCCGAGGTTGCATGAGCAAAGAGAAATATCAGTGTTTTATGAGGACATTTTAGTAAGTGTTCTATATTTTTATAAACATCTAAATATAAGTACATGAGGTAGTATGAGCACTGTTACAGCTCATTGTGTGTGAAGGGCCTTTAAAAATTATTTAAGATTAACCGAAGTAGCAAGTAACAGCTAGATTAATTTACAAACAAAATGTGTTATTTTCTGATAAATGTTTCAATGTTAAAAGGTCAGTTTAAAATAGCTGCAATCCCTTACTATTCTCAGTGGCGGTCTACGACAGAATTTGTCACTTTTTAAAATGTAAATTAATATTAATCTAATTAATCAAGGATTCTATTATATTTTATTACTGATAATCATGTTCCCATACAACAGGAGATTTCTCCCTTATATATAAAAATATTAGTAATTAACTTGATAATTAATGACAAGTTATAATCTTTCTGATTGGTGTTTGGACTTTCATTTTTAGGTTGTGTTTGAAAGTCTGTAACCTGTGGCTTTAAGCACAGCCTTCATGATGTACTAAAATAATACTGAAAGCTAATTAACTAGAAATTGTTACCTCATTTAAGTCAAAGGAAATCAAATTTATTTATTTTTTCTCCCTTTTTCTCGGCTACATTGAATTATCTGAATATTCATTCTGTCAATTTACTAATCAGTAGAGCATTCACACTGAGACACTGGTATTCATTTAGTCATTGAAACTCATTTTTTTGTTGCTATCAAGAAATGTGATTTGCAGTACCCCAAATTGCACACTTGATTAGATTTATTGAATCATATTTGTTTGTATATTTGAATCATGTGTTAGTGGAATGGACAGCATGGCCGGGGAGTCATACCAACTCAATTTCAAATCATTGATCAACTGAGTAATTACAAAAAACAAGTAATTTACTACTATACATGCTACAAATAACTAAATTGATCTGTTCTGCTGTTGAATATATAATATGTAATGCAGTAGTTTTTGAATTAATTGTGATTGTGTGACATCTACTGTACCTCAAATACTGTAAGTGGTCTATGTTATGAAGTTTATTTCTATTGGTGCTGTAGTTTTGGACAGGTTGCTGTCTGTGCCTCTAGTAACTGGTTAGCTCCTCAGTTCTGTGCACAGTCATTCTTTACAGCAAAACTGATCCTGGTACAGCTTTGTGTGTACTCTTGAGTATCTTCTGCCTGTAGAGTGTGTGTGTGTGTGTTTATGTGGTTTATGAGGACACAAATTTGTGTAATAACATGGGTATGACATAGGTATTACAACGAGAAGGGGATTTATGAGGACATTTTCAGTGTCCCCGTAATTCAAAAGGCTTATAAATAATTCAGAATGAGTTTTTTTTTTAATCTAAAAATGCAGAAAGTTTCCTGTGAGGGGTAGGTTTAGGGGTAGGGTTGGTGTAGGGCAATAGAAAATACGGTTTGTACAGTATAAAAACCATTACGCCTATGGAGAGTCCCCATAAACCATAAAAACAAACCTGAGTGTGTGTGTGTGTCTGTGTGTGTGTCTGTGTGTGTGTGTGTGTGTGTGTGTGTGTGTGTGTGTGTTGCCATTGATTTTCAAACTAACAGGAAAAGAGGAAACTCTAAATAAAATCCTCAACTTGACAACTGAAAATTACTGAATCCAGTACTTCAGTCCTAGTCTATACTAGTACTCTGTGAACAACTGGATCTGCTTTAACAGTGTTTAAGCTACTTTTGAAGTGCCAGTATACTTTTTGTTTTGCATTGTGCTGACTTTACTGTAACAAAATGTAATGCTGAGATATAAGTAACCTGAGATTGTGTGTAAAGGGCTATGGCGCTGGAAATAATGAGTTCACCAAGGCATATTTTAACATGCACCTATTTTGTAGATTTGATATGTAAATATAGAGTGCATTAAAAATCTGTGAGTAGAAATGGCATTTTCTGTACTTTCATTGTGAATCAAGATAGCCCAGGTAGCCAGCGCAATCGGGCCAATTGCGGCTGAGTGTTGGCTCACTCGGCTGTGTTCTGGCAGCGGCTTACCAAAAGTGAGCCAGCTCTGGCCCAGTAATAGTTGCCAGATTTGGCTAGGCTTTGAATTTGCAGATCTGGCCCAATTTGCACTGAGACACAGCACATTTAGCCACATTCAGCCCGATTACGGACCATAAGGGCTGGTCTGATTTTGGCTGAGATATGGCCATGCAGCCCCCGACCAGTTTAGGTTGAGTGCTGGGGACCAGTTTAGGTTGAGTGCTGGGGGTGGGTCTCCATTTACAATGTGGTAAATAGTATGTAGCAGTGACACTTAAACTAAAACATAATATCTTTTACCTGCCCATGTTATTTTTTGTGTATTTATTTTAATTCCTATTAATATTTTTTTTTCCTTTTATCCAACATTCTCTTTTTTCTTTAACTACATTTGGAAATTAATGATTTAATTCATATAATGAAACAAGCTTAAAGTGGTTAAGGGAACTTAAAAAAAAATTGCTATATGAGTTTCAAGACATGCGCACTAGCTTTGACATCTAATGACAAAAATTACTTTGATCTAAGATATAAAGCTGGAATGGCTAGCAGTAAATCTCTAGCTGAGGGGGCAAACACCCAGCTCTCACACGAGAGGGGAGCTCGACCTACCGCATGTTCCAATGTTGGAACAGCTAGCAATAATTTAGTTGAGGGAGCAACACACTCAGCTCTAAAACGAGAGGGAGGCTCGGACCTACAGCATGTTCCAATACTGGAACTGCCAGCAGTAAGTTACCTAGCTGAGGGAACACAGACCCAGCTCTCAACGAGAGAGGGGGCTCGCCCAGCATGATCGTTAGAATCAGAGGTAAGTGTACTGCAAGCTAGCCAAAAACTTAGCGCATCAGAGAGTCGGATTTGGAAGGGCCTAGTTCACCTGATGCTACTGGTTCCAGGTGCTCTGGGAAAACAGAGAACTCAACTCTCACGTGAGAGGAGAACTCCGAACTCAGAAAAAATTGCGCACGGAACTCATAAAGAAATAAAATAAATATTTTTCTTTTCTTTTCTCACATATATATATATACATTATTTACCAAAAGAAAAACATAAGGATTTTGAGTGAATTTACAATAAAACAAATTATAATCAACACCTGCTACACGTGCACACTTACCACTATGTGGGTTTCAGAAAGTGCACAGAGCTTAGCGTGTGCACTTACCATTGCATGGATTTAAATTTCCAGGCATCTGATCACAGATAAAACGATGTTAAAGAAATAACATCATCCTCCAGCAGCTTACTCTCGTCCACAACCGATGAGCGCGAGAGGGAAAACCCCTTTTTAAACTCATCAGCCGTATCCACCTGTGATCCCCACGAGCCCATCCTCCTCCGTGCCTCAGCAGCGGTGGGTCCTGAGCCGCGGGAAGCAGATGGCTGCCCCCCTTTCCTCGAAAAGAGAGACAAACGAGAGCGGAGCTTTTCATTAAAATACTGTGACGAGCGTCCCGAAGCTTCATCAGCGTCGCCCTGGAAACAAGCAAGGAGCACCTGGCCATCATAATCACAGGCTGATCGGTCACAGCTGCACCTCATCAGGCGGCGGCTACATAAACCACGCAAGCCCTGCCATCTAGTAGATTCCTCCATGAGTACTAACTCGCCCTCTCATTTTTCCCACAGAAAGCAGCGTGTGACCAACCAGCCCCACAGGAGCACTGCACGGACCCTCTGCACTGGGAAGACAGAAGAGAGCACTCACGGCACCGGAGCACCTACCTGGACCTTTCTCACGAACACCCATCACCCCAATATATCCACCCTCCGGGGTATTGATTGAGATTACTTGTCGTGTGATTTTTCACCCTGTTACAATATGCTCGCAATGAACGCGGCTTGCCCCCTCAAGGACATTGCGTGCGTGCTCTTTGCCCAAACAAACAACGCAGAGATTGTGTGTGTCATCAGGTGTCAAATAACGACGACGCGGATGCACACACCCTCTAAACGCTTTGCTAGTGTTCGCCATAACGATAGGAATATAGATCGCTCTTACCACGGAAATGCACGCTTCAAACAAAATGGTCAGTGAAGACGAAGAAGAGAATGACATGTTCTCCCGGCGCCTATTTATACTATAGTCGCCCCGGTTGTGACGTCATGGGCTGTCGCCGGCCAACGGGTTGTTGGTGTTTTTTCAATGTATGCTTCAGACACGGGTCACGATGAGGCATTCCCCATAGCGACCCCTAGAGGACGCAGTTCGAAGTTCCCTTGAAAGTAGAAATGCAAGTAGGAGGGTGGGGGGGAAGGAGCACATATGGATGCTATGGGGTAATTCATGGGGTTGGTGGGGTTGCCATGAAAAGAAATGAGCCACTGGACAAAGCCGCCGCCCCTCGCGTCGCGGACGGGAGAGGGGAGAGCGTGTGGCCGCTGGACTCCGCCCCTTACCTGGACCCCTCCTTCATGATCACTGCCCTTCCCTGCATGAAGCCCGCAGCACGACGAGGACACCAGATTCCCTGTTTATTTTGGACACTAGATGCCCCTTTTTCCCTGGACACAATATTATTTGATTTTTATTTGTGAATAAAAGCCTCTCCGAGGCCTGACGCCACACCCCCTGTGTCTGTCATGTGCTCTTCCCGTGACAATATATATAAATATAAAATCACACCAACCAAAATGGTACTCTTAGCCAATACTGGCCCGAGTCTGGGTACTGAAACTGAGCCAACACCACCGGCATTGGGCCACAATCATGCCAACCAAAATAGTACACTTAGCCAGTACTGGCCCAAATCTGGGTACTGAAACTGAGCCGACACCACCGGCATTGGGCCACAATCACGCCAACCAAAATGGTACACTTAGCCAGTGCTGGCCCGAGTTTGGGTACTCAAACTGAGCCGGCACTGGGCCACTCGTCGGTGTGATTGTGGCCCAATGCTGTTGGAGTTGGCCCAGTTTCAGTACCCAGACTCAGGCCAGTACTGGCTAAGTGTTTTATTTCTCGTTGGTGTGATTGTGGCCCAATGCCGGTGGTGTTGACTCAGTTTTAGTACCCAGACTCGGGCCAGTACTGGCTAAGTGTTTTATTTCTCGTTGGTGTGATTGTGGCCCAATGCCGGTGGTGTTGACTCAGTTTTAGTACCCAGACTCGGGCCAGTACTGGCTAAGTGTTTTATTTCTCGTTGGTGTGATTGTGGCCCAATGCCGGTGGTGTTGACTCAGTTTTAGTACCCAGACTCGGGCCAGTACTGGCTAAGTGTTTCAATTCTTGTTGGCGTGATTGTGGCAGGCGGACT